ATGAGAAAGAGCTTTATGCCCTTGTGTCAGCTCTCAAGCATTGGAAGCACTTCCTCCTGGGCAGGCACTTCAAGATCTTTTCGGATCACTCCACTCTGCAGTGGATGAAGTCCCAGGGAGAGTTGAATGACAAGCTTGATCGCTACATTCAGTTCATCGACATGTTTGACTTTGAACTGAAACACAAGAAGGGCTGCTACAATCGCGTAGCAGATGCCCTTTCTCGTAGGCCTGACGCTCTCTTCTTGATCTCCTTTACTCACTCATTTGGAGAGAGGACTCGTCAGACGATTGCCCGTTTGTTGCCCCAGGATGAGATTTTCGGGCCTATCGTGAGGAATCTCCAGAATGATCCTGCCTCTGAACCAGGCTATACTCTGGTTTCAGATCTGCTGTACACATGCAGCAGAGGTGAGGAACGCCTGTGCATTTCCCAGGACCACAAGCTGAGAACACTTCTGATGTCAGAATGTCATGATGCTCGAGGTCACTTTGGTGCCCTCAAATCTTATGCAGCCCTGTCGCAGCGCTTCTTCTGGAAGGAGATGAGGAGATGAGGAGTGACATGTTGCACTATGTGGAAACCTGTGAGTTATGCCAAAGGAACAAGGTTGTACGTCGACCTCCCCTTGGCCTACTCAAACCACTTCCTATCCCTGATGCCCCTGCACAGTCGGTGTCCATTGATTTTACTGACTTGAGTAGGACTACTCCTCGTGGTATGCGTCAGGTCATGGTATGTGTGGATCGGTTCTCCAAATATGCAGAGTTCATCCCCTTACCAGTTGAGGCTCGTGTGCCAGCCGTTCAGGCGGCGTTTGCTGACAGGTGGGTTACACATCATGGACCACCCACCTCCATTGTCAGTGACAAAGATCCCCGGTTTTGCAGCAATGAATGGCATCCTACTGCAAGGAATACCTTCATTCTCGGCTGGATATGACATCTGGTCGTCATCCTGAAGCCAATGGTCAAGCTGAAGTGATGAACCAGCTTCTCTTCCAGCTGCTGCATCATGTGATCAGTCCAGATCAGCAGGACTGGGATTTCCATTTGAGTCGTGCACAACTTGTGTATAACACGTCTGTACACTCCTCTACAGGCTGCACACCCTACCGGTTACACTGGGGTCGTGAGCCACGGCAGCCTCTCGATGACATCATCGATAAGGCTACCCCCTACATTGACGCCTGGAACTGCAGAGTTCACCAGACGTTATCGTGTGGACATTGAGCGCGTCCGTGCTAACCTACTGAAGGCTCAAAAGACAATGACTCAGCAGGCCAATAAGCACAAATGTCCATCTACTATTCGCACAGGTGACTGGGTGTGGGTACTCAGTTCTGAGTTGTCACGAGAGGAGGACATATCACCTAAGCCGCTGCCACGATATATGGGTCCATGGCAGGTCTTAGATACAGAGGGAGCCGATCCATTCGGACCATCCTATACAGCGGATGTCCCTCTGCAGCTACAAACCTACCCTGTCTTCCATGCATCTAAGCTGCTGCCTTTCACGTAAGCTGATGCATTCCCTGACATGCCTCCTCAATTCGGTCCCCCTATCCCTGGCAAGGGATATGAGGTGGAATCTGTGGAGGATGAGTCAGGTACAGGGCCAGATAAGGAGTACCTTGTGAAGTTCTTATACCAGCCGCATACTGAGGATCGCTGCTTTACTCGCAAGGAACTTTTGAAGACGGCCAAGTCTGTTATCCTCAAATATGAGGCAGCACATAAGGGAGAATCCCTTTGATGTTTTGCACGCCTACGCCACTAGCTCGGAGGTCCTTGCTCCGAGGGAGGGTAGGTCTGCAATGACTTGTTGTTTTCTGGTCGCCTACAGCCTCTCTCTGTCGAGGCTGTACTATAGGTAGGATAGATGCATAATTTTGTTTGGTTGAGGGCTAACCGAGAGACCTACCTGTGAGGGAAATTCGTGAGGGACATATCTGCAAATTCCGAATGCAGGCCCGGTACGAATAGAATTCCCTACAGCCTACCCTAACTGCGAATGGCAGGGCCGGGCTACCTCTAGGACAGACAGGCCCTAAGGGCCTATTATGATAGAGGGTCCTATAGCCTATAGACGGGTCGGCCAAGAGGCCGAAACAGAAACGGTACCGGTCGGTCAGTCAGTCCGGTCTAGGTCACGTCTAGGCTAGGTTAGTCTATAGATAGGATGGGCACATCGGTTCAAGGCTTTTGGCAGTTGGTACCGTGTACATCGCGGCTGTGCTACGCGTGAACCGGGAGTGGTGACGACTCAGCGTGGAAGGAGACAGACATAGCCAGACCTTCGGAGCGCCGGCCATAGCTGGGACCTGCGCTGTACTCTACCAGCACGCGGGGCTGTGCAGAGGTCTGGGCTATCGGGGTCTGTTGGAGGCATGTGAAGTTGGTGCCCTGCTCTACCCTCCTCCGAAGTGGGGTTCCAGGGTCGTGACACTGCAGCCATAGCTGCAGCTTCTTCCTGAGAGGCCATCTTGTCAGGAGTGGTGGCGCTGCTGCAGACTTCCACCCGGGAGGTCTTTCGACACTTCGTCATCATCAGATACTGTGGCGCTTGTCTTCTTCTTCATCCTCTGTGTGGCGCTTGGCCTCGGAGGCCTGTTTCAGGGTGGCGCTTCCCTGTGGTAGCTGTATCTGGGTGGCGCTTGATGTTTCAGGGACTCAGGGGTATTTCGAGTGGTTACTCAGGGTTGGGGAGTGAAGCGCTGCTCATCTCTGAGCAGCGCACTGTAGTTCTGGGGTTATCCTGACAATTCGAGACTCTGAGTTTAATAAACAGTGTTGATACTGAGTTCGGACTATTATTGCTTCATTGTTTCTTGGATGTGATCTACTCGGCTTTCCTTTATGACTGGTTGTGAGGATTGAGTGGAGTGAATCGCACTTTCAGTGTACCTTGTCATATCGCATGGTCAAGTCTTCCGTTGTGTTTCTGTCCCTGTGCGGTGTGATACTCCTATCCTCTTCCCTCCCTTCTGTGTAAGTATGGGCATACTTGGAAGTCTATGTGTATGAGTGTTGGTCTTCAGACAGCAATCAACCAGAATCATAACACCCCTACACGTGCACCCCATTTATCACAAAGAGAGTCTAAGAGAGACCGTACATTGTGGCCCCCGTTTATCACAAAGAGACCCCTACCCTGTCCGCCCCCGTTTATCACAAAGCTACCCCTATGCTGTGGCCCCTACTTATCACAAACAGTCCCCTACCTGTGCCCCCCTGTTTATGACAAAGAGAGTCTAAGGGAGAGACCGTACTCTACGCCCCCCGTTTATCACAAAGAGGCCCCTACCCTGTACACCCCCGTTTATCACAACGAGAGTCTAAGAGACCCCTACCCCGTTGCCCCCGTTTATCACAACAAGAGCCACACAAGTGTGTGCACGTGTGCGTAAACTTCGTTAAGTCACAGAGCTGAGGATTCGTGACGATCTGCAGCTATTTACTCTACACTGAACACAACAATACACACGTGCAGACCGGGATTGTCATTATGCCCCGTGGCCCCCGTTCATCACATTCAGACCCCTACCTTGTGGCCCCCGTTTATCACATTCAGACCCCTATCTTGTGGCCCCCATTTATCACATTCGGACCCCTACCTTGTGGCCCCCGTTTATCACAAACCGAGGCCTTTGATGCTTTACCTCATGAACGAGCATATGGCACTGTTGGCGTTTTTACCAATTTCCTGATAAACAGCAAAAAAAAAAAAAAAAAAAAAAAAAAAAAAAAAAGAGAGAGAGAGAGAGAGAGCCATACAAGTGCGTGCAAGCTCTGTTCCGTAGCATCAGCGCAGGCCGGCAGGAAGGAGAAGGATTTTTTTTTTGTTTCTTTTATTAGTCAAACCAGGGATAGGTGGACCACCATCATAGTACTGTAGTTCATAACATACTTAAATAGGAAAGTAGTTTGCTCTAATTTGCTCTGACCTCCTGTTCTTTTTTGAAGTTTTTCCCATTTTCTTTTCCCCTTTTCCTTGTGGAATAGGGGGGGGGTAGATATCCATTAAAACTGGAACGATACAGAGTAAGAGAAGATTAGCATGGCCCCTGCACAATGAAGGATGA